AGTCTCTCAAGCAGGCAAGCAACCAGGCTCCTTCCGATCAGTGAGGGAGATTTAGCGTGAAGCTAGCGTTAACAAGTGATTAAAGCGCAAAAGGCTTGAAAAACGCCAAAGGCTTGAAAAGCGCCAAAGGCTTGAAAAACGCCAAAGTCTTCAGTGCCGCGCCGCCATTCCTCTCCAATCTAATCGAGCGTTCCAGGCTGCTGCGTGGGCTAAGGGACGTCTGGGAGCGGCATCCTTCCAAAGATTATCCAGGGAACCGGCTATCCAGGTCCCCTGAGTCTTACTCTGTTGCGGAGGCCCTCTTTTGCAAACCTCCGAACCGAGCCGCTGGTTTATTCCAATGTTTTTCTGCTCCCCCAGAAGGAGAGAAACAGGCGGCCATCTCCCACCTCGCACATGCCCAGTGCTGACATTGGCTAAACTGTTTATTTTACATGTGTATACGATACATGGGGTTCCTAAATACATTATTTCAAATGGGGGGTCCAATTCACCTCTCTATTTTGGAAAGAGTTCCTAAAGTTAATAGGCTCCACCCAGGGGCTAAGCTCTGCCCACCATCCACAGACTCATGAGGCTTGTGAAAGGGCTAACTTGGTTCTAGAGCAGTATCTTAGGTGCTATGTCAATTATCAACAAGATAATTGGGCTGACCTCTTACCCCATGCAGAGGTGGCGTACAACAATTCAGTACATAGCAATACTGGAATGACCACTTTTATAGTAGTGTTTGGCCAGGATTTTGTACCCATTCCTGAATTGCCTCAAGAGAAGCCACAGAATTTGTCCTTGTCCGAGTGGAGTGACCAGCTTCAACGTTTCTGGTCTATGACTCACAAGGCCTTAGATGCGGCTCACCAAGTGCACAAAAAACAAGCTGATAAAAAAGGGCAAAGCCAAAAGAGTACCAGGTTGGGGACAGAGTATTCTTGTCTACCAAGTTTTGTCAAGATACACAGAAATTGAAAAAACTGGGCCTGAAATATGTAGGTCCTTTCCCCATTGTCAAAATTGTGAATCCCGTGTCAGTGCAATTGGAATTGTCAAAAACTCTTAGGAGAATCCATCCTGTGTTTCATGTAAACCTACTGAAGCCAGAACAAACATCTTCTATGCATTCACACCAACCCTCACCCCCTGTCCCCCTCCTTATTGAAGGAGAACAACATTTTGAAGTTAAAGAAATCTTGAATTCCAGAAAACATAGGGGATGTATCTAGGACTTGGTGTCCTGGAAACATTTCATTTGAACTTCCCTGAGGCTGATGATTGGAGCTGTTTTCTACAAGGGGGGAGTCAGAGAGACAAAGGTAGGGGCCTTTAACTCCATTTNATCTAGGAATGCAACTCATGCAGCTTCCATCTCAATAAATGTGGCAGTGCAGCATATAATTGCACCATACAGTTAACAGCTACCTTAATATATGGATGCAGCCCCTACAGCACAATTGCTCAAAGAAAAGGTGTTTAAATGTGCGATGTTTGCTTTGGAAAATTAGTTATTATCCAGGTTTAGGTAGATACTTCTGTTTACTCACCATCCTGAATGCATCATGAAAGAACAGATTAGACATGGTACCCAAACTGCAAAATAGAATTTTGCTCTTTGTTCAACCTGTACAATATACCCTTTCATTCTTCAGAGAGTGCAGAGCAATATATGAGAAACACCCCATAACCTACTGGCACATTATGCTTTATATGTTTTTATGAACAGAGATTTACTAATGGTTAAATCCTTAAAAAAATATTACCTATTAGGACTGCAAAACATTTGGAATTGGGACTTTAGGACTCATAGGATGGTGTAGGAACACCTCAGAAAAGGAACTTAATACTGACAGTTCTAATGGATTGTTGTGGGTGTTTTTTCAAAGAAAGGTATGAGTAAAAAGGCACAGGGCTCCAGAATAAATGAATTTGCAGAACAAAACAGTGGGGATGACTGAAAGATTTAAAACTATTGAAAAGGACTAGAAAGTTGAAGAGTATTAAAAGCTAGCTAACATAAAAAAACAAAAGTGATTTGTGGTAAATAATACTTTAAGGCATATATTCTATATATGGCAGGAGAAGAAATCCAGGAAGTTCTGCTTGGGCAGAATTTAATTTAAACTAGAGGCTATCATGGTTCACATTTCATAGCATTTTGTAGTCAAAGTTTAGCTTTCCTTCTGAATAACCACAAATGGGTCTGCACATATCTGAGATATCAGAATAGGACTTGTAATGTTAAAATATGGTGTTATTTGAAAACCTGTTATCTTATTGCATTAATATTTTCACAACAGGATCTAGACAGATTTCAGCTTTTGTATTTTTTTTTATCTGATGAAATTCTACAGTTGCATTTGCTACTGTTTTCTGTTTTTGAAGAAACTTTTTTTTCCTGAATAATGGCCAATATTTTCTATACTAAATTGATGGAAGCCTTAGTTCAAGGGATGCTTCAAAGATTGATAATACTTGTACTGGTAAAATGAACAACTGATGCTGAAAACGTGCCATTTTGTATTTGCTGTAAGAAATACACAATAAAATAACAAAAAGTACATTAACCTGAGCTATCATTTCAAAACGACTACCGTATTTACAAGATGCACCTCCCCCCCCCAAAGTGGGTGAAAATTTGGGTGCGTCTTATAGACCAAATTTAGCCGCCCCCCCCCCCCCCCCCCAGCCAAAAATGCAAGGCATGGAGGCAGCGATGGTCTGTGGCAATCCCTGCAGCGTGGAACAGTTGATTGGGGGTATTCTGGCAGTCCGATCCACCTGCCAATCAGCTGTGTTGAATCAGGCTGCAATAGGTTCTGAAGCTGACCTGGCTGGTCAGAGTTTGCAGCAGCAATCACATTCAGAAAGCACAGTAACTCATTCAGCAGGATTCAAAATAGTAATAATATACAATACCATACCAAAAACAGGTTTTCCAAGGAAGAAGTAAATACAAGCAAAACTCAAGCAGTTTCACTTTCAGTTCTCAGCTAAGCCAGGCTCCTTTCTGTCTCCTTTTTGCTCACCCAGCAAATTTCAGAGTCTAAATAGCCTTCATTGGCTGACTTAGTTGCTATGCCTATTCATAGCCCTGAAAGGCATGGAAGTTGTTCCTCCAAGTCAGGAGGAAAAGGAACCCTCCTCTCTTTTGGGAGAAAGTGAATCTGACTCCGATGATGACCACCTGGTAAGTCTCTGATCGGGCCCCATGACCATCCCAGTAGAATTAAAAGTATCCTCAACTGGAGCCCAGGGGAAGATGCTGGCCCTTTTAGATTCTGGCTGCACCCGATGTGTGATTAGCCCAGAAGTGGTGGAAAAAATGGGTTTAAGACACTTTGAAAGTACCCATTGCCTTTTGCCAATTGGATGGGTAAGTGGCTGGGGGGGGGCATTTTGTAACCGAACCAGTAGAGATGTGGATGGGAGATCACCAAGAAACCTTGAGTTTCGTTGTTGCCCCGGGGATGGATCAGCCCCTCATATTGGGATTACCTTTGCTGCGGAAATGGAAACCACACATGAACTGGAGGGAAGGGTGGCTGCGCATCTGTTTGGCAAAACCGCCAGAGGGGGAGGGAAAGACTTCCCACCTAGCCAGAGCTGTAGCCAACTTAGCAGCCATTACACATGAGAAACTTGAGGGAGAGGAAAGAATTCTGAAAGAATATTGGGACCTCAAGGAGGTTTTCAGCGAAAGGGCTTCAGACAAGCTCCCCCCCCCACCGCGCCATGGATTACAGCATAGAAATTCTCCTGGGAGAGAAGCTCCCTAAACCACAGATTTACTCGATGACCCCATGTGAAATGGAGGAATTGCGAAATTTAATTGATAAAAATCTAAAGAGGAGGTTCATACAACCTGCTAGGCTGCAGGTGGCCACGCCGGTCTTGTTCAGAGAGAAAAAGGATGGCTTTTTGCTTGTGTGTCAACTATAAAACCCTTAATGCCACATGTACCCTTTGCCCCTCATGAAGAACATGTTAGCTCAACTGAGTAAGGGGAAAATTTTCACGAAATTAGATTTAAGAGAGGCCTACTACAGAGTCCGAATAAAAGAGGGAGATGAGTGGAAGACTGCATTTAACTGCCCTCTGGGATGTTTCCAATTTAGACTACTCCCATTTGGTCTACAGGGGGCGCCAGCTGTTTACATGCAATTGATTAATGAGGTGCTGCATGAACACCTGTACAAGGGGGTGTTAGTTTACCTGGTTGACATCCTCATTTACACGGAAACACATGAGGAACACGTGAAATTGGTGCACTCAGTCCTGAAGAAACTCCAAGCCGCTGAACTTTATGCCAAATTGACTAAGTGTGAATTCCACCAAGAGAAAATTGATTACTTGGGGTACTGTATCTCTCATGAGTTCATCGAAATGGATCCAGAGAAAGTCTGGGCTGTTACTGAAAGGGTAGCTCCTCGCACCCACAAGCAGCTGCAAAGTTTTTTGGGATTTGCTAACTTTTACCACCAATTTATTCCCTCACTAGCTAGCATTGCACTGCCCATCACGAATCTCCTAAAATCAAAAGGAGAAGCTAAACCTAGGCCCGGTAAGCCTCTGAATTGGACTATGGAATGTCAAGCAGTGTTCGAGAAGTTGAAACGACTGTTTGTAGCTGAACCAGTTTTAAAACACCCTGACATGGATACCACTTTTGTGGTTCAAGCAGATGCAAGTGATGTAGCCGTGGAGGCAGTGTTGCTCCAAACGCAGATGGAAACCTGCAACCTTGCGCCTACACCTCCCGAAAACTAACGGAAATGGAAAAAAGATAGGCAATATGGGAAAAGGAAGGTTTTGCTGTTCAGTGGGCCTTGCTAACCTGGTGGCATTTCCTTGAGGGGGCTAAACACCCATTTGAGGTATGGACTGATCATAAAAACCTTGAAGCGTTAAAAAACCCACGAAAACTGTCACCAAAACAAGTTCGCTGGGCACAACATTTTAACCGATTTCAGTTTACTCTAAAATACATCCCTGGGGAGAAAAACTTTATGGCCGATGCCTTGTCCAGGCTTCCCCAGTACAACAGTACCAAATCAGTGGTGATTCATCCCGTCATCCCAGCTAAACACCTAGCTGCCCTGATGGTCACCAGGAGCCAGAGAACAGTGAATTTAGAGGTGCCCACTGATCTGATGGAAAAACTGAAGGAAGGTCTCGTGTCTGATGACTGGTTCAAGCAGCACTCCAAGGAGTGCACTATGAAAGATGGTCTTGCGTGGGTAGGAGCTAAGTTGTATGTTCCTACCAGCCTGAAAATTGTTGTCTTTCAACGGGCCCATGACTCAAGAATGGCGGGGCACTTTGGTTTTGTGAAAACATTGCATTTGGTTAAAAGGCAGTTTTGGTGGCCTTCCTTGAAAAAAGACATAGAATCGTACATAGCTAGCTGTCCCATTTGTGCAACAGTAAAGAGACCACCAGGGAAGCCTCAAGGACTATTTCAGAGTGTTGCCTGACCTGGTGCACCGAGGAAGGAGATATCAATGGATTTTATTGTTGAGCTGCCAGAAAGTCTTGGAAATACTGTCATCTGGATGATCACCAATTTTTTCTCCAAACAAGTGCATTTTGTACCCTGTTCCAAGATCCCTTTGGCAAAGACATTGGTTTAAGGTTTAAGGTTTTATTTGACTTGTATGCCGCCCTATTCCCGAAAGACTCAGGGTGGCTAACAAACTAA